AAACTTGGCACACACGACCACCTAGGCACGAAAGACTTGTGGGAGAAGACGGGACTCCAATCGGGTTTCCGGTTTGGGAGTTAGAGACGAATTTCACTCTAGGCAAACTAGTTCCTTCAGAAACTTGAATTCGAAGTGTTAACGTCCCAAAATCACCAAAAGGGGTCGGTTTAGCACGGAACTTGGCACACACGACCGCCTAGGCACGAGAGACTTGTGGGAGAAGACGGAATTCCAAATCGGGTTTCCAGTTTGGGAGTTAGAGACGAATTTCACTCTAGGCAAACTAGTTCTTTAAGAAACTAGAATTCGAGGTGTTAACACCCCAAAATCACCAAAAGGGGACGGTTTAGCACGGAACTTGGCACACACAATCGTCTAGGCACAAGAGACTTGTGGGAGAAGACGGAACTCCAATCGGGTTCCCGGTTTGGGAGTTAGAGCCGTATTTCGGTTTAGGCAAACTAGTTCCTTAAGAAACTTAAATTCGAGGTGTTGACGCCCCAAAATCACCCAACGGGGTCGGATTGGCACGAAAATTGGCACACACGACCGCCTAGGCACGACAGACTTGTGGGAGAAGACGGGACTCCAATCGGGTTTTCGGTTTGGGAGTTAGAGACGAATTTCACTCTAGGCAAACTAGTTCCTTAAGAAACTTAAATTCGAGGTGTTGACGCCCAAAATCACCCAACGGGGTCGGATTGGCATGAAATTTGGCACACACGACCACCTAGGCACGAGAGACTTGTGGGAGAAGACGGGACTCCAATCGGTTTCCCGATTTGGGAGTTAGAGCCATATTTCGGTTTAGGCAAACTAGTTCCTTAAAAAACTTGAATTCGAGGTGTTGACGACCCAAAATCACCAAAGTGGGTCGGATTGATACGAAACTTGGCACACACGACCGCCTAGGCACGAGTGACTTGTTGGAGAAGACGGGACTCCAATCGGGTTTCCGGTTTGGGAGTTAGAGACGGATTTCACTCTAGGCAAACTAGTTCCTTAAGAAACTTGAATTCGAAGTGTTAACGTTCCAAAATCACCAAACGGGATCGGATTGGCACGAAACTTGGCACACACGACCGCCTAGGCACGAGAGACTTCTGGGAGATGATGGGACTCCAATCGGGTTCCCGGTTTGGGAGTTAGAGCCATATTTCGGTTTAGGCAAACTAGTTCCTTAAGAAACTTAAATTCGAGGTGTTGACACCCCAAAATCACCAAATGGGGTCGGATTGGCACGAAACTTGGCACACACGACCGCCTAGGCACGAGACACTTCTGGGAGAAGACGGAACTCCAATCGAGTTCCCGGTTTGGGAGTTAGAGCCATATTTCAGTTTAGGCAAACTAGTTCCTTAAGAAACTTAAATTCGAGGTGTTGACACCCCAAAATCACCAAATGGGGTCGGATTGGCACGAAACTTGGCACACACGACCGCCTAGGCACGAGAGACTTGTGGGAGAAGACGGGACTCCAATCGGTTTCCCGGTTTGGGAGTTAGAGCCATATTTCGGTTTAGGCAAACTAGTTCCTTAAGAAACTTAAATTCAAGGTGTTGACACCCCAATATCACCAAATGGGGTCGGATTGGCACGAAACTTGGCACACACGACCGCCTAGGCACGAGAGACTTGTCGGAGAAGACGGAACTCCAATCGGGTTCCCAGTTTGGGAGTTAGAGCCATATTTCAGTTTAGGCAAACTAGTTCCTTAAGAAACTTAAATTCGAGTTGTTGACACCCCAAAATCACCAAATGGGGTCGGATTGGCACGAAACTTGGCACACACGACCGCCTACACACGAGAGACTTGTGGGAGAAGACGGGACTCCAATCGGTTTTCCAGTTTGGGAGTTAGAGCCATATTTCGGTTTAGGCAAACTAGTTTTTTAATAAACTTAAATTCGAGGTGTTGACACCCCAAAATTACCAAATGGGGTCGATTGGCACAAAACCTGGCACACACGACCGCCTAGGCACGAGAGACTTGTGGGAGAAGACGGGACTCCAATCGGGTTCCCGGTTTGGGAGTTGGAGCCATATTTCGATTTAGGCAAACTAGTTCCTTAAGAAACTTAAATTCGAGGTGTTGACACCCCAAAATCACCAAATAGGGTCGGATTGACACGAAACTTGGCACACACGACCGCCTAGGCACGAGAGACTTGTGGGAGAAGATGGGACTGCAATCGGCTTCCCGGTTTGGGAGTTAGAGCCATATTTTGGTTTAGGCAAACTAGTTCCTTAAAAAACTTGAATTCGAGGTATTGACGGCCCAAAATCACCAAACGGGGTCAGATTGATACGAAACTTGGCACACACGACCGCCTAGGAACGAGAGACTTGTGGGAGAAGACGGGACTCCAATCGGGTTCCCGGATTAGGAGTTAGAGACGGATTTCACTCTAGGCAAACTAGTTCCTTAAGAAACTTGAATTCGAAGTGTTAACGTTCCAAAATCACCAAACGGGATCGGATTGGCACGAAACTTGGCACTCACGACCGCCTAGGCACGAGAAACTTGTGGGAGAAGACGGGACTCGAATCGGGTTCCCGGTTTGGGAGTTGGAGCCATATTTCGGTTTAGGCAAACTAGTTCTTTAAGAAACTTAAATTCGAGGTGTTGACACCCCAAAATCACCAAATGGGGTCGGATTGGCACGAAACTTGGCACACACGACCGCCTAGCCACGAGAGACTTGTGGGAGAAGACGGGACTCAAATCGGTTTCTCGGTTTGGGAGTTAGAGCCATATTTCGGTTTAGGCAAACCAGTTCCTTAAGAAACTTAAATTCGAGGTGTTGACACCCCAAAATCACCAAATGGGGTCGGATTCGCACGAAACTGGCACACACGACCGCCTAGCCACGAGAGACTTGTGGGAGATGACGGGACTCCAATGGTTTGGGAGTTTAGAGCCATATTTCGGTTTTAGGCAACTAGTTCCTTAAATTCGAGGTGTTGACGCACCAAAATCACCAAACGGGGTCAGATTGGCACAGAACTTGGCACACATGACCGCCTAGGCACGAGAGACTTGTGGGTGAAGACGGGACTCCAATCGGGTTCCCGGATTAGGAATTAGAGACGGATTTCACTCTAGGCAAACTAGTTCCTTAAGAAACTTGAATTCGAAGTGTTAACGTTCCAAAATCACCAAACGAGGTCGGATTGGCACGGAACTTGGCACACACGACTGCCTAGGCACGAGAGACATGTGGGAGAAAATGGGACTCTAATCGGTTTCCCGGTTTGGGAGTTAGAGCCGTATTTCGGTCTAAGCAAACTAGTTCCTTAAGAAACTTGAATTCGAAGTGTTAACGTTCCAAAATCACCAAACGGGCCCCAAAATCACCAAATGGCGTTGGTTTAGCACGAAACGTGGCACACACGACCGCCTAGGCATGAGAGACTTGTGGGAGGAGACAGGGCTCGAATCAAGTTCCCGGTTTGGGAGTTAGGGTCGGATTTCTATCTAGCCAAAATTATTTACTTAACTATCTTTGTAATTATATAGTAATTAATTTTTTATGTTTTTTTGTAATTAAAATATTAATACATAATTATATTGTCATTAGTTATTTTTATTTTTTATTTTCAGATATTTCCTGAGTAGCAGTTTGCTTCTTGTGGAATGCAACCGTGTGAAGATTGCGACGAACTTTTGTTTATGAAGAAAACTTTTATTTTTGATTTACGTTATTTAGATTTGTGAACAACATTATGTATGTATTATGCAAAATTATTTGGTTGGATAATTTTGATGATGTGTTGTTATGAATGGAAGAGTACTTTAATTATGGATGAAATTTTATTTATATACAGGAATTTTTATATTATTATATAGTTATCGATTTTTTTTAGCTATTTTTATTTAATACAGGTAATTTGCATATTTTTAATAATTTTATTGCTGCATTTTTTGTTAGAACCAGGTTTTTGCGACAGTAGCGTAGCCGTCGCCAATGATATTGGCAATATGAACAAAAGGCCTTTAGCGACGGTACTTTCACCATCGCAAATAATATTTTTAGAGACGGCACACTTTTCTGTCGCAAATAACAGTATTAACAACGGTATTAAACCCGTCGCAAATAACCATTTTTAGCGACGGTATTTTTACCGTCTCAAATAAACCCTTTTGCGACGGTATTTTCCCGTCGCAAATAACCATGTTAGCGACGGTATTTTAGTGCCGTCTCAAAATCTTCAGATTTTTACACATTAATTGCGACAGTATTTTGCCGTCGCTAAAAGGCATTTTTGCCGTCGCCAATATTTTTGCGACGGTGTTTACCGTCGCTAAAGACCTTTAGCTACCCCTTTTTTTGCAACCCCCCTAGTACCGTCGGTAAAAGCTATTTACCGTCGTAAAAAAGCTTTTGAGACGGCTTCTTTGGTATTGGCGACGGTATTTTACCGTCGCAAAAAAGCGAATTTTTTGTAGTGACAAGGTTTGAAAATCAAGCAACCAACTTATTCCAAACACGCTCGATACAACCAAATAGCCAAAATCAAATAAAAATAAGGGGGAAAACAACAATGAACAACCTTCAGAAACCACAAGCTTGAGCCCGGAGTACAACAAGTATCGGGTCAAAATCGGAATCACTATAAGTGGCATCTGGCATTGGCTGATGGTGGCGATATAAACAAACACATAGATTATGTGGATAAGCAAGTGACACTAAACACTTAGGTGGAGTAGTATAAAGATAAATAAATAAATTAGCTTAATACATTGTTTTAATTTGTTATTGTCCTTGTGATCTCAAAAGATTCAAAATTGTATTTATGACTTGATTGCCCCAATCATTGATACAAGAATTATTCAGTGACTTACGGCTTTGGCAAAAATGGATTTCACCAATAAATGACAGATCCATCTATAATGCTATTTCAAGTAACAATTACAGAGCAAATACAGATCCATCTATAATGCAATTTCAAGCAACAATTACAGAGCAAATACTTACTTAAGAATCATATCAGCATCTTCTACAAGAGACTAATTCATTCATATATGTAGAAATATAACATACAAGAAATTTGTAATCACATACATATGCCAGTGTCATAACTCCCAAATTGTATCCAGACTCATAAAATTTAAAAATAAAAATAAAAATAAAAAAGACAATTGTCAGTCACTGCAAGCCTAAACAGCACTACTAAGAGGCCAATGCTAGCAATCTATGATAATAAAATAGTGAGTGATAATCACTTCCATTTTTTGAACTTTCCCCCACGCTTTTTGGACTTTACAGGCTTCCCACGCTTAAACTTTCCTTGACGACTTCCATGCTTCCCAAACTTTCCTTGACGACCATAGTAACCTCCATGGGTAAGATTATGGGCACCGTGTGATAGCTGGTGGGCCCCATAAGCTGTAGCCGCAGCAGCAGCGCCACCAGCTATCAATGGTCCCAAACTAGGCCCATAACCTGTACAAAGAAATTACAAGCTATCAACAATGGAAAAAAGAAACACAACATTGTAGCAAGCAAAACAAACAGCACTCTCAATCTGTATACTTTAGAGTCAATGATCACGAGGACCTTACAGAGATGTAATTTTAACAAGCAGATTATATTGAAAAGTTAGATGTACGAAAAGGCCGAGAAATGACAGAGAAATACAGTTCAATAATGAGACATGAAGATTTAACAGTCTTCCAAACCCTAAAATTATCAAAACCAGTATTTCATACAAACAATTATTTCTGGTTTTAATCAAAACCATTATTTCAAGCTTTGAGTTCAAAAACAATGCATAAACACGTGCAAAACAATTGAAAGTTCTAGGAGCAATTAAAATATTATTCAATAATGTCTTGAAGGTGGTAATGGCAATTCACCTTTACATCTCAGTTGACTCCAAATCCTTAAAAGAATTTTGGAAACAAATGAATGGAAGATACCTGGATAAGGCGGAGCTGATGGACCAGGATAATTTGCTGGTGGATATCCACCTGGGGGAGGATATGCTGACGGACCAGGATAACCTGCCGGTGGATACCCACCTTGGAAAGGATATCCAGCTGGTGGTGGGTATCCATATTCAGTTGGCAGGTAGACCTGAGGGGGATATCCTTGAGGCGGATATCCTTGAGGAGGACATGCCCCAAAAGACGGAAGGCATTGTCCAACAGCATAGCCAGCAAGACGAGTGAAAAGTCCTCTGTCACTAGATCCATCATCATTGTGATTTCCACCTCCCATTTTTCTCCAGCTTGAAATTTATGAACTGAAAATGTAAATAGAGAACAGTAGAACATATAAGATTTTTTTCAATGGGTTAAAAAAAAAAGGTGTGCCAATTGTTCCTTAGAATATCATATGTACTTAATGCAGGAGTTTGGCATGGAAATTGTTTATATTTCATTGTCTTTAATATTTATATTTTTTATTTTTAATTATAGTTGTATTTATTAAGAACTAAGTTTCAAATAGTGTTAAGATTTAGTTTCCTAAGTTGATTAGGGCTTTGCATCATAACATTCAGCTTTGAATTAAGAATATTGAGTGAGGTTGTGATTAGAGTTGCGGCCCTTGCGTACTTCCTCTCTCCCTTCTTCTCTATCCTCTTTCCCCACAGTGTTCTACATCACTACAACTTCCTCATCTCAACCCATAATGACTTGATGCTTTTGTTCTCCATGAATGCATTTTTCCAATATAAAAAATCACATGTCAGCAACTTATTGTTCATCCAGAAAAATTGACATTATCAAATAGAAGGAAAAGAAAAATGGGCAGATATTTAGCAAAGAAGACACATTATATGTGTTGATTATGCAAAGTATATGAATTGTTTCCTGGTTCTACTTTTGTTTGTGGCAGAGTCAGACGGGATTGCAAAACAATCTACATAAATAAATGGAGAACGATTTTCTTCTTGGTGAATAAAATTATCAACTCCTAACAAATTTTTGGTTACAAAATACCCAGCACAGAAGTTTGCCTATGCATGTATTCTAAGAAATTTCATCACATTGATGTTTGAATATATTCTATCATATCAACCAAAATGACAAACAATTGATATGGTTCCAATTCCAAACTATGTTCGGTTGAGTTGGGAAATGGAAAAAGAAAAAAAAAAAAAGCCTTAGGTGAACCCAAAAGACAAAAAATGAGATTATATTTCCCCCTCACTTTATTTTCCCTTGTGTTTTTCATTAGGACCAAATAAACAGTGAGATTGCATTTCCTATTCCCTTTTCATTTGTTTCATCAAATCATCCAACCAAACACAGCTAAAGACAATTTCCTCTAAATTTGTTCCCAAAAAAAAAAAAAAAAAAAAGAGTCCATTACAAAGGGAACTTATTAAAAAATCTTCAAAAAGCTAATCAATGTGTTTGATTTGAATTTTTTGAATTAAGTTTTTTAAAAATTAAATTTTTTGGTTTTCGCATTTTTTTGTTTTTAGTGAATATTTTTAAAATTTTAAATATGTTTTTTACTTTTTTAGATGCACCTTGCTTAGATGTATCTAAAAAATAAAAAATTAGTGAAAAAATATTTTAAAAAATTAATAAATACATAAAAATACAAAAAAAATGTACTGAATTCTCGAATTTTTTTTATTTTTGATATTTAGTGAATTTTTAAAAGGTTTTTTTCACAATTTTTTTCTTTTTAGCTATATTTATGTTAGGTATGTCTAAATATTAAAAAAAAAAATTTGCTTAAACTATTAAAAAAATTCAGTAAAAACAAAAAAACACAAAAAATAAGAAAGTATAATTTTCTGAAAAGCATTTTTAAAAAACTCTAACCAAGCAAAAATTGAGATCAATAAACACAGTAAAAGCAACCGGAAGCACACAAATCCAACATCTAAACCATGATTCAAAGTTCAACAGCCATACAACCCCCAACCAAAAAGAATATATATATATATATATATATTTGGAATAAATAAACAAATAAATCAACACACACACACGCATGAAAATAAATAAAAGATTGATCAATTTTAAAAGGACACAATGATATGATGAAATAAACTGCTATTAACAAAACAAACTAGCAGCGACTAAGAAATCATTCAAAATCCAACATACAAAAACAACAACAAAGAAGATTGCTGACTCATTTTTTCATTACCACTACCAGCTTATATGCTTATACTAAAAAACATAGTCAAAATTTAAAAATCGAATATGTGTAGAGAGAGAGAGAGAGATTACCGAATTGAATTGGGGATTCAAATCCTAATGAGCTGGTTTGGTTTGGGTTGGTGTTGAAAGTTGTTCAAAAAATCAAAGAATATGTTTCGAATTGGGGTCTCTCTTTGATAAGTGCTTCAACAAGGATATCTCTTTGAATGTGTGGTTCGACTGTCTTTCACTTCATCTCCTAATTAATTGCACCTCTACCGACCTCAATCAATTTTCTTTAAAATTATACCATACCGACATAACAGATAATAATAATCAATCAATTCTCTTTAAAATCACCTCCCATTAAAATTATATCACACCGACATAGCAAATAATAATAATCAACCATTTCTCTTTAAAATCAACTCTCTTTAAACTTATATCATACCCACATAGCAAATAATAATAATCAACCAATTCTCTTTAAAATCATATCATTTGAAGCGAAATTAAATATGTAAAATTAGAGAAATATAATCACTTTATTTAATTAGTCTATTTTTGTTTTTTCATTAATGATCTACTCAGCATCCGTTTGGGAAATGAGTTGGCTTTTTGGCTTTTTGGCTATTTTAGCTTGGTTTGGGAAGGGCTTTTTGGTTTTTTTGACTTTTTTTTGTGAGAGAGGATTGTAATGATTATGGGTTGGATTTGATGTTTTATTTTTTGTGGCTAAAATAGCCTATTTTGTTTTTTGTGGCTATTTTAGCCAAAAAAGCTTGACATTTTTCTTCCCAAACGGAGCCTCAATCAACTTAACAATATAAGCGGCCTGAACTATTGAAACAAGCTTAAACAAACTCTCACCAACCTCACAACAAATACTATTGTGTGATACTTAAAGTGGCACCCCAATTCCTCAAAATTTTGCCCATAATTAAAATATGTAAATAAATTTATTCTGAATACAACTCACAACGTACCAATTTTAAATTTACACTTTACATTTCACTTTCATGGTAAAATTTTGATTAAATTTTTATAGTGACTAGAATTATTGGGAAAATTTGTTGAGAAATCCATTAAATTGTAGGGAGGTGATGGCATTAGGTCCAAGGATTGTCTTGTTTTAGGAGTTGTTTGGCATCTTTGATATTTGTACATTTTTTATTTTTTTTT